AGCTGCTACACATTTCCCTGTAACTTAATTATGAGAATTTGGTGTTAGATCAAGACAACAACCTGCACCTGATAAGTTTGACAATTCTCACTATCTCTTTGCTGGATAAGGTATGGATATTATAGGGAGAAGTTACATGTAAATCACTCCTGGGAGCTAAAAGGTTAAGGTGCTGACATGGAGAATATGTTTAACAATCAGAGATTCTACTGTTTGGGATCATTTCCTTTAATCTTGTGACCCTAAAGTGTGATGCAGGGTTTATATTATAAGGAGAAATCATTTTCCAGTCACTTCAAGAGATCAAAGGTTTAAGGGAAGAAGGTGGAAATGGAGCCTCTCCTTAGTTACCTTGACTTTTTGGGAAGGTTGAGACCTTGTCAGCAGAGAAACAACCACTTCTTGGGGCTTGTAAAATGTCCTGGTTACGAAAGAATCTTATTAAAGAGTGTTTCCTGAACTGAAAAACACCTGTCTGTAGGTAAAAGGCTCTGCAATGACTTAATGCCGGTTACAATCAGAGGCTTTTCAGAGAGTCTTTTGTTCCTCCCACCCTCTCCACCCTTTGCAGTGCTGATTGAAAAAAAGATTTGTAAACCTGAAAATGGATTTCTTGAAGATTTTAATTGAGTAGTGGTTTAGAGAGAGGATTGGACTGAGTATCAAGTTTCACTTTGGGATTCTCAAAGATTCTTGTCAGTTCAGTTTTGAGTTGTGACCCCGGTAACAGTTACCAAGAAAATCTAGCAGAGTAAACAGAAAACTTCAGGCATCAAGGAAGCTGTCTACTTCTACAAACAGATAATTAAGGTTTTATCAACTGAGTTGATGATATAAATTGGCCACTGCAAAGAGTGTCAAAGCAGACGTTTCAAGTGTTTACCCTTTAGATACATAATTATAAACATACACACAGCCCACAAGTCCTCCATTTTCTTTGGGGAAGGGCTAATGCTAAAAAAAAAATCAGCTTTGAAACTTGTTATGGTGACCAATTTACATAATTATTTATCAACTGAGGTGATAAAGCCTAGTAATGTTATACTCCTCCAGCTTTGCAGCACCACCCACAGTTCATGTAGAAATTTACCCTCTACTCTCTTTATTCACTGCTCCTATACACAGCCCTTTCTGAGCTGTAATCAAGTGTTTTCATACTTTTCTTAAGTTCTCCCAATTGTTTACATGTGTATGAACAAGGTACTGGTTTTATTTTGTACTTTTCAGTCTATATTGAAAGTGACTTTATCATGACTTAACCCTTTAACTCTCAAGATCTCATTAGTCTGTCATACAATTCATATGATGTTAGTTTGGAGAATTTGGAATTGGATCTACCAATAATCCCCTAATTGATATTTTATTTTTCTTTATTCTCATTACTTGGTCTCAGTCATTGGTGGGACTTAAAGGGTAAAATTTTTATACTATACTGCAATTTTATTCACTACGATGACTTACAGCGACCTTTTTAATAATATTCTAATTCTGCTTTATACCATGTAGCTTACAAAACTGTGTGAAGACTGGAGTGTCTGGCCTTTCAGAATTCTTTCAGTCACTGGAGGACCTGTTAACTGGACAAGAGCCTGCTTTGCATAAGAAGAGCCTGTTTGGTATGTGTTGTGCTTAAAAATTGAAATTGGTACATTTGATGTCAATGATAGAATTTTGAGAGTCAAGATCTATCACAGGCTATAGTGAGGATCCTACTGGTACAGAGGAAAAAAATGTGATCTTATATAACTTAAGAATCACTGTATTTCTTTAAATTTATTACCTATTTTATTCATCCAAGATAATTTCAGTTTATGATGACTATTTGACTTTGATCTGAAGGTCTTTTCACAAGACGAATGACTTTATCATTTAACAAGATGACATTTGGTCAAGCGAGTCATTTTGTGGATCAGATGAAAGTTTATATGGGGACAGAAACATTTAAACATAATGCAGATGAGGAGGCATTGGATACCAGTTTAGATGTTAGCATGCAGAGTACAGAAAACGAAGATGAAGGAAAAGTTATCAACATGTCTAGGTTAGCTTAATGGTTTTGGTGTTTCTTGGCTGCTGAGTGATTTCCCTTGTTATTATAGGGTAGAAACAGATGGAAGGGGGGGTATATCAACTGAATAGAAAAGACTATGCTTGGGTACTTATATAATTAGAATGTTTTCTTTGGACAGGCTTAACACAGAAGCATGTTTCTAAAGAGAACTATCATCATTTCTGGTGTTCAACAAATCTTTCCATTTTATTGCTCAATTGAAATATCAGAATTGTTAGAATAGCCAAGTTTTCATCATCATCATCAAGAAAAGCTTCTTATTTTTTGGGGGGTGAGGGGGGGGGGGAGTGGGGGTGTATAAGAAAGCCTGAGGATCTCTTGCTGTTTTGAGATTGCAACTGATGCAGTGCAGAAAAGTTTTAGAAGTTACCGTAATAATTTTGCCATTTTCAAAACATTTCTAGCATTTTAGATTCTAGTTTCTGATATACATCTTGTATAATCTAGGAGTTGTATTTACCAGCACAAGAAATGGAATGACACACCACAAGAGCATGTTACACATTTATATTTTATTTACTAGTTCAGTTTGTGTCAGTGATGAAATGATAGAGTAGTCCGTAAGTCAGAATAGACATTTCTAAAACTTCTTATCTTTAGCCATGCTTATTAGGCTAGTATACTATTTACTTAATGAATAAGGATGTGTAATTTCCTGGATGCTTTTAGAAATCCTGTCCTCCATGGTCCAGTTACAAACAGGCAAGCAGAATTTTTTCTGGCTAATCAGGTAACATAATACATTTATTGTCACTTAGCCTTTGATGGAAAGTGGAGATACATTGGTTGAATTTTGTAAAGTATATATAAACTAGTAAATTGGAAATCTTGAATTGATGAAACATTCAGGGGTGATCAATTCAAATGATTAATAGATTTCTTTGGTACAGTTAGGCCAATGGAACATGTAATTTATTTTTCACAAAATTACCAATTGAGTTTACAATATCTCAAATATGAAACAAAAATGCAAGGTTAGTGAAGCTGTTAGGGAAGTGTTTGTCAAGAGATGAATTTTGAGATGTTTGTGAAATATGTCTTTTTAGTTAATAAGAGGGAACTCATATTAGGGCTGCATGGGTTTCATGTGTATTTGTTGCGGTTAAACCTCATTTTGGTTTTTAATTATAAAAATTTTTTGGGGGTTTAAATTTTATTGACTTTTATTAGTGTTTAGGCTTTTTGCTTGTACAATCAATTGAAAATAAACTTTCAACCAGGGATAAAATTGAATCACAACACTTACTACTGTACAATACATAATAATAAGTAAACTGCAATAAAAGTTATGTTTTTTCTCAGATTCTAGATGTTTGTGGGGCATTTGAGAATAGGGAAAGGGAATATTACCTAGACAAGTCACATTTATTTTTCTCTTTTTCAAGGTGTCTCTGATACAGACCACTGAACAAGAAGCCCTATCACCCCCTGAATTGCAGTTAAGGATAGCAGATATTTTAACAGCTTCTCCTGACATTGCTGAGACTGTAAGTCTTTTATGTTCATCTATAAACCTCTTAAAGAAACAATAGAGACAGAACTACAGCTCTGAAATTTTGGTTAGATCCTTTACTAGGTGAGCTAGAGAGAACTTGTTGGTGAGCCAGTCCTCATGATAGGTTCATAATTTTATCAGATGTGTCTTGCATACTCATATTTTTTATCATGAGCAATATCCTTGGAACTTATTATAAAACAATTGGTAAAATCATCTAGTTATGTGTTTCTCTATCAACAGCACTATGCAACTTTTCTCAACTGTCTAAGAGCCAAGGAATTTAAGGGAGCACTTGACAGTCTCTATCATTATTTTGATCAACAACAATGGCACAGGGAGTCAGCCATAAAAATAGCCTCAAGTTCGGAAGGAACAGAGCCTGAGAGGTGCCACAGATTCAGATATGCTGCCTTGAACCTGGCTGCACTCCACTGCCAATTTGGTCACAGGTATGTAGACTGGGGTGTCATGTAACACAGATTTTATATATTGTAAGTGTCAGTCATGTGGAAGACTTTCTGTGGTGTGTGTTGTGTCTGGAAATAATTTAGCCAACCCTCCTTCGCTGTCAATTCTTGTGAAAACTCTTTTCAGTCCTTTTTGAACCTATGGTATAGTCTCCTACTGGGTGTACAGGAGAAGCATTTGGTTAGAGGGAGGACTAATTATTGGGGCAATGGACTCTGATTGAGAAAGAGATAGTTCGAGACCTTGGGTGCAGTGCTGCTGCAACTGTGTCTATCCACCTAGGAGTATTAACCCTTTTTCCCACCATTATCTAAATAGTAATTCTTTGTAGCTTCTCCATATATTGCTTATGATTTTAGTTCTGAGAACTTGATGTTTAATCAAGGAGTATCACCTTGTTGGTGTTTTTCTTTCTTCCCTTGACCTCTCTGCTTAAAAAATTATGGATATTGTAAGAAGAAATTGATTGTTGGTCACTCCTGGGAGTGAGAGGATCAATAAGTTAACCTCCAGCAAAACGCTTAAGGCAACCTGAGATAAAGTAGCATCCCATCCAGAGAAAGAGAATGGAGATACACCCAGACACTCAATGCTACAGAAACTGGGATATGCCTCAGTCTGTAGCTATGTGATCAAGAGTCAGGCTTGTTTTTATACTTATCATGTAAGGCTATTAAACAAATTAATGTTATTAACAGAACCCTTGGAACAAACATTCGCATTAGACTTTCTATATCTGCAAGGATGGTTAAATATTGTTACTATTTAGTGAGATGATTGGAATTCCAAACTGTTTTTCAGGGAAGAAGCACTAGCAGCTTTGAAGGAAGCCATTCAAATTGCACAGGAAACCAATGATCATGTTTGTTTGGAGCATTGTTTGGCAAGTTACATTTTACCATCGTTTAGTTCTATTCAGTAATATTATTAAAGCCTAAAATCAAGCAGTTTATTTGCCAAATGTCTACTGACTACATAGTAAAAATCAGGGTTCATAGCTTGGGTTCGTAGGAACAATCAAATTTTCTATAAAGAAAAGAAAATTTTTCATACAATGTTGTATACTAGACTTTTGACAGGGGTACAATGATTTTCAGTATCATAATACTGAGATATGAGGATTTCTGGCTTCTCCAGGGATGGCTTTATCGCTTAGAAATGGATGGCAGTTCTCAAGCAAAGCTTTTGTTGGACAGATTTGTTGCAAGGGCTGCTGAGCTCAAAATTCCTGTAAGTAGAATTAAGGTGTATTTTGGAATTATTTTTCATCTTTTGTTTTGAAGTGGTATATACCTCCCAGTTTATGAAATTATATTGAAGAAATGGTTAATACAACTTACAGACAGTCATAGAAAAGGAGAACTAGTCTTTCTTATACATTCAGAGACACAAAGTTACTTCAGATCTTTGAGAAAAACTAGCACTGAGACTTGTGTTAAAAAAAAAAACTGCATTTTGAGATTTCTACACTCAGGTATATTGTTGGTAATCTTTGCTTTGTATTTCTTAAATGTATACTTGACCTTATTTGTGTTTTATTGCTTTTATTGTTCAGTACTTGACTTCTCTTGGAATGTTGAATCACTGTCAGTATGATGCCATGGCTGGAGTACCACCTCCTAAGTAAGATATGGCATTATGTAATTTTAGGTGTTAGAATTTTGGATGCGCATGACAAAGACTTTAAACTTGGCTTCAAGCTCCAAGAATAATTTTATCTTATTTTTTGTGGATGTGAAGATACAAATTTTTCTTGAGATACTTTAAGCATCTGTAAATAGAATAAGAAAGATTGTATGTTTTGAACTTGTAAAAAGAAATGAAGAAAGATCAAAGCTTTGCATTTATCTCAAGGTTTGAGGTTTGATTCCTTATGGGAACTCAGAATTTTTTCCTTGTCCCACACTTGTGACAAGACAAAATAGGTCTTTCTCTACATCTGGACTTTCAAATTGCAATCCACTCTATTTCCTGAGATAGCTTTAAAACTTGGTCAATTTTTTTACCTCATTGATAATTTTGATTTCATGTACAAACTATCAAGACATACAATATCAAAGCTTTGTATTTATGTACATCACTTTTTTTTTTTTCATCAGAGTTCTACAAAACCTTACCCAAATCAATATCATCAACTCTCAGAAGGCATTAGGTGACTTGAACTCTGCAGCACATGTCCAACAGGCAGCTATTTGGCAGATCTATGGTAAAAAGTAAGTTTTACTCAGTTATATTAAAAGTTTTTATCTCACAGGATATGTACCCTGAGAGGTTTTGGCATCCACTACTTGCATGGATCTACTTTTCAAAACTCATTTAATTAGTTTCTTTTTAAAACTCTATTGGCAGTACGGGAAAGTTACTCGAAATTGCAATATTTACCTTGGGTCTAGAGAAGGGTTATTTTGAGTTTTTTTTATAGAATAGATTCTTTAACTGAGTGCCACCTGTTCATGGACCACTTTTGACTTTAGGATAGTTTTATTGTTCTATCATATACAGTCCTCATTGGGGGGGGGGGGGATTTGTATCTAATGTTTTTCAGTAAAAGCAGGTGTAGGGCACTAAAGGTTATATGATACACACCAATAAGAGAATGCCAAAATGCACCAATAGCAGCTAACTATCATGCTACATGTCATATACCAATGCCTAGGTATTCAACTTCATTATCTGAGAAAGTACCTTGACTCTGTAACTGAGAGTAACCCTTGACTCTACAGTTGAGAGTAACCCTTGACAACTAAACTTTAATTGATAATCTTAACCTTCATGAACAAACACATTTTGTCATTCTCTTTGTTGATATTCTCATTTTCTTTTTTCAGTTGTATTGCAAGTATCTTCACCCAGTTTGCACTTCATCAAAATGCTTCAGCCAGCAGTGACTTAATGACATCTGTTAGTAGAGGTGCAGCTGGTATACAAAGTGCAGAGGCCACATGTCTGTCACTGTGTAGTCTTGCAGAACAACATGCTGACAGAGTAAGCTATACTGAAGAGATTTTTATAAAATTTCCTTTTTTAACTGTGTCAACAACTGCAAGCTAAGTGGAGGTTGGGTGCCTGAGACATCCAGAAGCTTCCACCATTAGTAGCCAGCTCCTACATAGAGACTGCTCTTATGGCTGGAAAGGGAAACAAGCACCCATCACACTGAATAAACAGTGGAAAGAGGGAGGGAAGGGTTGGGGAAAACTGCCTGGAAAAAGCTGCCAATCTGAACAAGGCTGAAAGTTCATGCTCAAAGCACATGTGAGGAAAAAAGAGCCAAAGATAAGGAAACATTTACATTTGATACCCATTTACCACTACAGAGGAAACTTATACATGTTGAGATGGCCTTCTGATAATTTCTTCAGATAATTTTCATGGGGGCTCTGTGACATCTGGAGAAGGCTTTTGGACTATTGACCTTTGGCTCTCTCCTTGTATAGACCAAGGTCCTCTATACAACTATATGAATGTTTAGTGCTTGAAAAATAGCCAGCCAACAAACAGGCAATTATTTGCACAACTACCAAAATGTCGTAGTAAGTCATCCACTGACAGGTAAAAAGCAGCTAAAATATTCCATATGTGCTCTTCCAATTACCTTTTTTTTTCAAACAAAATGAAGAAAGTACTGAAATTTTAGTTAACCTCATAACCCATCTGTTTGTTGTTGCAGGGAATGTTTCAAGAGGCCTCAGATATCCTATCATTTTGCAGAACAAAGTTTCCTGAACATTCTAGGTTATCTCAGGTGAGCAGAATCTCGTCAAATTGCTGATAGTAAAATTAGCTCGTATTGTTCAATAAAGCACTCAAAGATCAGAATGGTTGTTAGTCTTTGAAACTTCACGCTTGAAGCCCAAAATTTAAGATTGAGAATCTTTGGTCTTTTTTCCATCAGTGATATCATTTTAGCAGCAAGACCAACAAGAAATTGGAGTGTAAAACTTTTCATTTCTACACCTTCCTCTTTTATGTCTTTTCTCTGTAATTGTGTGAACAGCTATGGATGACAACAGGAGCTATCATAGATCACAATAAAGCTTTACTTCAAGGTAACATGGAGAGAGCAAAAGCGTGTGTTGAACAATTAGCAGCGCTAGATGAACCTGAGGCCGAGTATAGGTAAATAAGTTTTAGTTAATTATTACACTTGCCATAGGGTTGTTTTTAGGGAGTGTACCATACACTGAGGGAATACGGTTTTTTTCTTACTTATCACGCGTTAAAGTTCTCACTTTTGACTTCCAAAAATCTGAATACTTACTTTTGTTCTCCCTTCTCGCTGCAACATGATTCCTCTGTTTGAAACTTTTGTCTGTTGTCTTCAAGTTTTTGATGGATCACGTACTGATAATTTATGGTTAAGTTTCATCCGTGTTTAAGTTATGGTAAACCTGTGAAAGAGAAACTTCCTTTTAGCTATATGAATGAGTCCGTTTACGAGCGTAAGGGGCCTCTGGAAATTAGACATTTTAGGAGCTTTTACATTTTGCTGAAGTCCCAATAATCTGAATTTTTTTTTCTTGCTAAAACTGTTTCAAGCCTTCGGCTTCGGTAGATCATGGAACTGCTTGGCACTGACACGTCGCGGTCGTGTGGGACAATTGAGAATCACTTTCTGACAGCATAGGAAAGTGAATTGTCATTTTTGGCAGGAGAGCAAGGGCACAAAGTGTGCTTGAGGAGAATCATGATTATTGGAATCAAAACACAGTGTGACGGACGGTACAACTTCTGAGTATTGTAGACAGTTATTTACAGATCATCTGAGAGCCCCTGGCCAGTAAAAAGAAGAAAAATGAATTAGGCCATGATAAAAGTTATCTTTCTCTCTTTTAGGTCCGCTTTGAATTTGCTTCACTTAGGAGACTACACCACAGTATTTCCTAGGTTAGAGAAGCTACTTGAAAGCTCAAGGTAACAATATACATGAAACTTACACAACCTGCTGTAAAGAGGATAGTTGAAAGTGTTACATCTCTAAGCGGGGACTTGCTGGTAATTTTCAGGGGTCATGTCATAGACAAGAGGAATTTATTACACAATCAAAAGCGTGCTAACTTGGTGATCATCTCCTTTTATCCTCATGACCCATATGTTTGATTGAGCAATGTTGCCGTTAGGAGAAATTGGTTTCTTGTCACTCTCATGCGTTAAAGAAGGGTCTTTGTGGGGTTATACCCCCAACTATGCAGCAACACAGTTTCTTTAGGAACTTACCCCCTTTATTCTAAGTATAAGTTTTTACATTTAAATGCGACTTCTTTGATTTTTGAAAATCCTTTTGACTCACAAAATGATGGTTTATATGTTTGGCTTATTCCAGAGACAAGGTGTTCCTTAATGATGAGAAGAAATCAGCTGCTGAATACAAAGCAAGGTATTGTGAGATATTCCTTTTCAAGAGCCATGATGACCTTGGTAGAATTTAAATGTAAACTCAAAGAAGCAGTCTATGTAAATTGTCAATTGAGCTAGAAACATTTTTTTAACTTTGCCCTTTAATCAACCTCCAGCTCCCTCCTTCTCTGGTTCCGCCGGGTTTCCAACGGTTTCATGCAATTTTGGACGTTTCCGGCCGTGCAATTTGGAACTATTTGCTACACTTTTAGCTAGACGTTGATCTTGATCATTAGTGTCTTAATTTACGTATTTGGAATGCTTGAGTTGTTAATGAGCTGTTACTGAAATATCGTTTTTGGACCACTCCAATGTCATGCTCTCTTCATGTACTCAAGACTGTTACAAACTTCTTAATCGTACATGAACAGTGTGCTAATCACCAAACAACCGCACCTACCGCAGTTTGACAAGTTACCGGTAATGAGTATTCATGTCTGTATTATTTTCATTTACCCTCAGAATTCTTTTAGCCCTAACGCAGCTCTTTTTGTTGCTGAGTGACCCAGTATCTGCATTGCCTCACGCCCTTGACTGCTTGACCACCTCATGTTCACACTTCATGGACAACTCCGCTGCTTTAGCCTCACTTTACATTGCACAAATCCAGGTACATGACTTACAATGGCGAGAAAACTGTTAATTGTATTACAAGGTATTTTCTTGTTGTTAAACTTAGATATTGATACAAGTTGAGTTTTGGTTTAATTCGGATTCAGTTTTCAGTGCGCCAAGGGAGCGTTCAAGTGAAAAGCTTTGTTCAATTTTGGATGCATCCATTCGGCATACGCGTTTTTTTCGTTTGTATTCGTGAATGTAATGCATTGCATTAGTTACTTAGACAACTATTAAAAGTATATATGTTTTGAGGTGGGTTAAAACCTCCTTTGGAACAAGTTCGCTTATGGTTGCACGTCCACAAGCTCTTGAGTAGTCTGGCATTTGAATAGGGAATAGTACTTTTAGTTGCGCAACCTTAACGTGACCTCAATACCATCACAACGGCCAATCAGAGGAAAGTAAAATATCATAAGCAGCCAATCAGAGCTCAAAGTGAAGAGACGATCTTCAGCACGGGAAAACGCGAGTAATTAAGTCAGGATTAGTTTCAATTCTGCATTCTATTGTTTGTGAGAACAGTACCATCATTTCTTGACCAATCACAATCTAGTAGCGCAAACAGATTCTTTATATACTCAATAAAAATTAGTTTTATGGTATTATCGAACATCATAAACTGTCATCATTCACTCTAATTGTAGCAGTAACGTAAAACACAACACTGTCTCTTTCAGCTATCTTTAGGTTTACCAGAAAAAGCTGTGGCTCTGATCAAGAGAACCATGGTTCAGATCCTATCACATGGTGAGTTAAGAGCTCTTGAAATGTAAATTCCCACACGTATGTCAATGTGAGGAGGAGGCGTGGTGGCCTAGTGGTCAGTGCGCTGGACTCCGGGTCGAGAGATCTGGGTTTGAGACCTGGCTGGGTCAATGTGTTGTGTTCTAGAGCTAAGCATGTTACTGTCACAGTGCCCCTCTCCACACAGGAGTATAAATGGGTACTGGCAAATTGCCAGGGAAGCAATTACTAGGGGGTAACCCTGCGATGGATTTGCATCCCATCCATGAAGGAGTAGTGATTCTCTTCGTCTCTTCATGCAAAGGAAACCGGAATAAGCTCCGGCTGGGTAGAGGGTGGGCCACTGGACTCAAATACAGACTTAACTTACGTTTTACTATGACAGTGTCAGGTACTTAAAAACGAACATTCAAAGATTAAAGGTTTATGTCATTTTTGCAAGAGCTCAAAAATAACTGATTGTATGCAGCGTAAAAATGTCACCCGAATTACAACCCAAGAATTACTGGATCACAATCATCTCCAACGAAGTTATGTTTTCTTTGTAAAGTGATTCAGTTAACAAATTGCAGTCATTCACATGACAAAGCAATGTTACGTCGGTCATTCCTTATCCCCAGGTTCTTTGTACGTGCAGTGCTGTGCTCGGTTTTTGTTGGTCAAGTGTCAGCTGACTGCCTCATCGCAAAATCAGGATAAGAGCCGCCGTGAAACTGGTAACTAGAGCAACGAGAATAGTATTTTATCGAATAATGCATAATGTCGCACTCGCAGTAGTAATTTATCCTGGGTAGTGTCGATGAAGGATGTTGACAAATTCCTCTTTAATAAGTTCCGATTATTCGAACAAGGAATTTGTTTAAAAAAAATTTGCGTCTGTGGATAACTTGACAGAGGAGGTTTGGTTGATCGAAGAGAAATTTGCACCCGCAAAACCGGCTCTAGCGAAACCTTGCGAGCGAAATTATGGCGCAGGCATTTTGCTTTAAAAATGGTGCGAATTCTCCTTGTACTGGTGGCGGGAAAACAGCGCACAAAGAAGCTGGAAACCAAAAGCAATGGACTGTTTACGGTGAATGTAAGGAACACGAGCAAATAAGGATGTCTGAAGGACGTTAAATATTGTATTCCATATTTTTCTTGGTTTATTCTCTACCTTTTTTTCATTTTTCACACCAATTGTATTTGGGTGTCGTAATGTATTCGTATTTAGCTTTCATCCTGGTGGGCTTTTACAGCTTTTAAAGAGCAGAAGGAGGGGAAAGGGGGGGGGGTGGGGAGGGGCTGGTGTAGCTTCTTCCATGGTACTTTTTAATTATCTCTGTTGCAATAGTAAAGCCAAAAGACAGCTGCTATTGTAAGAGTGCTTTCGTGTCCTCGTTTATTCGATAACGTCCGTGATACCTTAAAAAAGTTGCTAGTGTCTTGAAACGCATTGCAACTCAAGTCAGAAAGAAAAGTTACTTACATTTCTTGTTTCCTTATTCATTAGACTTGCGTTCTGCTTTGCCGACGCTGGAAAGGATCGTGAAAGGATTTAGAAAGTTAGGGGCTGCCGACAAAACCAGAGATGTCTTATACTTTCAGGTGACAATTAAGCCAAGAGTCGCGTCTGATGATTTAGGGGTCATAAATTAAAGCCATAAAAGTTTTGGATAATACGGAACCAATGAGAACAAAGCAAACACGTGACCGACCTCGCGCTTAGAGGAACACGAGCAACCACCATGCGATGGTGTTTAGTTCTGCATCTGATTGGTTGAGAGAGCGGCTCGAGCTTGTAGACCAACGACAGGGCCATGTAAAGGCAAAACCAAAGCCATTCCAGATTACTTACGGAATTTGATTTAAAATGTGTGTATTAGTCGGCGCGGTGTTTAGGGAAGTTTGCTATGGCGAAGATGAGTGTCACTTTCCTACTTCTGCGTGAACACCACGTCAAAAGGTTTTAAAATTAACTCGGCGTCTTCTATTCTAGCTATCCTCTAAAGAAGGCCCCAGAGTCTCAGAACGTTTGTAACTTGCTCATTAACAGGAGACAAAGAACAGGGAGCTCTTTCTGAGGATTAGTCCCTGCTCAACTTTATCTTGGCATTTACTACTTAAAATGACCGTTTTTCACTTTTCTTAGGCGAGGATATACGATGAGCTGGGTTTCACCATCGAGAGAAATGCCTGTGCAGCTGAGTGCTGTGAAATCATCCAAAGACAACCAGCATACAGCGCCCGGTCTTCACTGTTTGTTTTATAAGTAGATATCGTTTTAGCAGTTGAGAAAGCATAGCAAGGAATTGCAAGCGTGGTGTTGTTAAGGAATTGTCTGCTGGACAAATAAACAAGGAAACATTGTTTTCATTAATGAGGGAAATTTAGTTTAATATTATCCCTGGAATAACAGGTGTGTACAAAACATACAGAAACTTTTTAATAACCCATAAATTGCTGCTGTACAGTTGTTGCTTAAGAAACAAAAGAAACATCTCATTGCTTTATTTAGCCTGTTCTGCCTTCTTGGCCTGTACTTCCTCTTTTGCCTGAAAGAAAAACAAAGTATATCTGAACAAGTGAAGAGACTTCCAACATTTTATTACCTAAAAATCACCATAGGAAGATGACCACAATCCCTCAAATCTTGAAAAATGAGCCAAGTCATTATAAAGATGCTGAGGAGCTTTTACATGGCAATGAACAACAAGACTACCAAAACTTGTCCAGTTTGTGAAACACAAAACACTGTTGTAATAAATTAGCATGAAGTGGAATTAATTAATTAACTAATTCCCTCCCAGATCCTAATAATCACACTTTGCCTCCTGTTCATATGCTTTGCCTCCTTTGTACGCTGGCCATACAAGTTTGGTATGGGATAAAAACTAATATGAAAAACTTGTCTTGACAAAGAATGCAACTACAACTTGCAAGATGTAAAGTGAATGTGGATCTCAATCTGACTCAGTGCACACAAATTCTGTAAAAAGATTTCTTTTTCCAGGGCATTAATATCTCTTTGTGAGGAAGTTGCATTTCCTTTTGCAGCCAGAGTGAGAGTAAAAGAGGTCATAAAAATGCTTCACATGGTTAACATACTTTCTCCACCAATGGCACCAGGTTTCCTTGTTTGGCCAGAACTTTTAGAAGTTCCATAATCAGTGGTAGATAATTGTGTTTTCTTCTTATGTTTTCAACCTGAAAATTTTCAAGAATTCAAGAGAAAGTTTTTGATTTAAAAAAATTGGATATTTCTGTTGAAACAGAAGAGTTCAATCTTTCCTGTTCAAACAGGAGAGATAAGGAACTTAAAGAGGGGGGGTGGCACATTTACTCATTGTGGAACATCACCTTACCAATGTAAAGGAAAAAGGAGCCATTTTTAATGTGTCAGTTATGCATGAAATTGTGTTTATGATATGCATCATTGAGTGATGACCTCACATATGCAAACAGTGAGCTGACTTCTGTTAGAGGCACCAGATTTCTGTTACAGACGCCGGAAGATATGATTTACATTCCAATGACAGCTTACTCCTTGCTCCTTGCAGGGGTAAAACACTCACCACACTCA